TGTGCGTGACTCTGTGTCTGACCCCATGTGTGCGTGACTCTGTGTCTGACCCCATGTGTGCGTGACTCTGTGTCTGACCCCATGTGTGCGTGTCCCTGTATGTCACCCTATGTGTGTGTGACTCTGTGTCTGACCTCATGTGTGCGTGACTCTGTGTCTGACCCCATGTGTGCGTGACTCTGTATGTCACCCTATGTGTGTGTGACTCTGTGTCTGACCTCATGTGTGTGTGACTCTGTGTCTGACCTCATGTGTGCGTGACTCTGTGTCTGACTCCATGTGTGTGTGACTCTGTGTCTGACCCCATGTGTGTGTGACCCTGTATGTCACCCTATGTGTGTGTGACTCTGTGTCTGACCCCATGTGTGCGTGACTCTGTGTCTGACCCCATGTGTGTGTGACTCTGTGTCTGACCCCATATGTGTGTGCCTCTTGTACAGCAGCAGCAGGAGATCCTGGCCGCCAAGCGGCAGCAAGAGCTGGAGCAGAAGCGGAAGCTGGAGCAGCAGAGACATGAGGAGCTGGAGAAGCAGCGTCTGGAGCAGCAGCTGGTCATGCTCAGGAACAAGGAGAAGGGCAAGGAGAGTGAGTGACTGGGGAGGGGGGACGCTCACATGCACAGATACTCACATACACACACACAGTGTCATGATGTACTGGAGCCAGAACAGCTTGAGCAACTGCATAATGAACACAACATCCAAAATGAGGTGGGACGAGAGCAATATTTCATCATTGGTAATGGATAACTGGAATAAATATGACCCCAGTCAGTTACAAATGCTGCCGAAATTGTGCAGGTTCCTTTGAAAGCTGGACTGTACCATCACACAGTGTGGGTGCTGTTTCATTCCCCCACAGGTGCCATCGCCAGCACAGAGGTAAAGCTGAAGCTGCAGGAGTTCTTGCGCAGTAAAAAAGACCCCACCCCCGGCGGGCTGAACCATTCCTTCCCTTCGAAATGCTGGTGAGTGGGTGGGGGGCTGGAGGGCTCACATCAATTAAAATACAGAAAAACATGACTTTCGGCTGCTCTATCAGCTGCTTTAATTATAAATGAAACAATGACATTAGGTAACATGCAGATGAATTGCATTCTTGTGGGGGGTTATAATAATTCTACTAGTGAATTTTGATGACTGTATATCACATTCTATGGATTTCAGGGGGGCCCACCATACATCTCTGGACCAGAGCTCACCTCCCCAGAGCAATACCCCTGGGACACCGCCCTCTTACAAGTTGCCCCCCCTGCTCGGGACCTACGATGGCAAAGATGACTTCCCGCTTCGCAAGACCGGTGAGCCCTGCCTCCCTGACATGCCCCCTTCCCTGTCACGCCCCCCTCCCTGTCAGGCCCCCCTCCCTGTCACGCCCCCCTCCCTGTCAG